ACAGCTCAGTACCACTGTAACTGATACAGTACCATGCACATTATTCACATTATAAAAGTGACAGTATGAAAAATACAAATATCTGCTACTCCTATTTCATTCTTACAGCAGCCATATGAAGTATTAGAGCTGAGAGAGTATTACCAGAGCTGCTTCTGTTCATATTTACTCAGTAACTCCATGGGGTCACTTGGGCCCCATTTCTACATCCTCCGCACATTCGTCAGCTCAAGCAGCCAACTGCACTCATGGCACAGAAGAAAATCTCAACCTGTTCAGAAAGGTGACATCTACTTTTGACAAATATTAGGTCAATAAAGAATGAGAAGTGGACATTATAGTCCTTATCCAATTATAGCAGTGCTGGTGTAACCTTTACATTTGTCAGTGAAATAACAAAGATATTTTAAAGTCTGCCTCAAGTTATCTAATCCAGTGTGATGTCAAGATCTGGCAGAAGGAGAAAAACTCAAGCAGCCAGCAGCCATATATTTGAAGACAGCGACTTGGGTAGTAACAAACCAAGAGCAAAATAAAAAAGGCTTTTGTGAACCCTGTGTGAATGTAAAATCCTCAATAATATCTAAATATTTTGAGAAGATGCTAAACATATCTAGAAAAGGTTCAAACAACAATTTTAAGGGTATGTAAAAGCCACAGAGGCTATTGAAATGATGAATAAAAACCAATCACTTTTTTCATCAGAATTTGGCTATGCTCAGTGCTTTCCATACTGAAAAGAAAGATGAGTCAGGAGAAGAAAGATCTGAAGAAGTAATGAACAAAATTAAGAAATCCCTGCATATAATCCATAAACAATGGTATAAAGGTTGATCCCATTTAAAGCAAAAGACACACTGGAAATGGCGTAAAAAAATCTTTAGAAAGACAAATATCTAATAAGAGGGGAAATAAAAGAGACTTTTTTTGTTTTAACAGATTCTTTTAGTTTCACATGGAATTACAGAAGATTCACTTATTAAGGAAAAAAAATAAAATTTGGAGCCACTGACTGATCTTTATTCACAGAGGTGAACAGAAGTCTACCAAGGATGTGGGCTTGACTCTTGAAAGGGCAAGCCTCATATGCCCACTCACTGTACCAGGAGCAATGCAAGAGGAATTGCTACAAAGAAACAGAGGACATTTTGGGCAACATCTCACTTAGGCAATCACAGTACCAAAAAAATAAATCAGTTAACAGCGACACAAAGGAACAAAACCTCCGCCCAAAGGAGAAATTGTCCTAGCCACGTGGCAGCTAGCAAGGGGACATACTGCAGGCATTTGTGCCAACATCTGGGTGCCCTAATAAGCCCACGGAGCTTATTGCAGGAGGAGGAAAATTCATGGGTTTCTGAACTGAGGAAGACAAGCTGCAGGTAAACATAGGGAAGAGGGAAGGTGTGAATTCAGAAGGTCCCACGTGCTCTGGGGGCAGAGGACATGGGAGTCTCTGGGCATGCCAGGCACTAGTTTTCCAGAAAAAGGGATGGTCTCAAGTTGCTGCAACACAGAGTAAGTAAATCTATGTATGTGGCACTAGAGAGGTACTTGGGCAAATGGAGAAAATAATAACAGACACGACAGCGAGCTGAACACACTAACGCCCGTGGTATGAGGTACTGCCAAGTGACACCTGTGATGAATTGGAGGGATAGAAGGGAACATTCAAAACAATCCTTCCAAAAAAAAAAAAAAAAAGACCTTGAAGTAGTGAAGGGAATCATGAAAGCAAATGTGCAACAGAGGAGGCCAGAGACTGGCTTCTCTGTTTCATGACAAGATTTGGCTTTCACTTTGCTCTCACTGTTGCTACTACATAATTCATTGGTGATTGAGGCAGGTTTTAGGACGTCTACTGAATGAGCAGCAAGGAATAATTTATAACTTTACAGGCAGCCAGTCTGGCCTCACTATACTTTTTAAGATGAGGCCTCGAAGAAAGAGTTCGTTGGACTTGGCAGGAAGTGAGGCGTGGGAGTGCAAGGCAGCTTCCTGCCCTGCACAGTACAAATAACATACATATATTCACCCTAAAGTACAGCTCATTCAGGAGGAAGACTGCATACACGAGTCCTATGTACTGCGATGGTGTGCTGCCCGCAAGGAGATCTCACAATGAGATGACAAAAGAACAATTTATCACCCCCCCTGATACTTATTAAAAAGGTTAAGATGATCCCTACTTATGATTGTATTCTCCGTTAAACAAAGCAAGCTTTCCACACAGTCCCACCTACACAGCCCAGTTGTGTTCTGGAGCAAGGGCTGGTAGGCGTGGAGGGGAATGAAGTCCTTCATCTGAACACAAACTCAAACTGTCAAAGCATCAGCCTTGATGAGTTGTTTTCTGATGCAATTGGACGGAGAACCACCAAAAGCTTGATTCTGATCCCATTAAGTCACACTTTGGCCAATGGGATAAATCAGGCAAGATTGAGGTTCAGCTTGTTTTATATACACAGCTAAAAAGCCATCAGGTGGAGCTGGCTGGGCACAACAATTAACCATGGATGGGAGTCAAACTGCCAACAGGCGATCCTTGTCACCTCTCAGAGCTGGGTGGGTCTATTAGCTATGAGTATGCTGTTGTGCATGAACATCCACAGCATGTTTTTAAAATAATGGATCCAAACCAGCTTGCTTAGCGGCAGATTGTGGCTTGAAATCATATACCGTATAAATCCCAGTATGAGATTTAAAAGGTTTTAATGCTTTCAGTAGGGTAGGCAAAGGAGGTAAAACATTTTAATGGCCTTTTGAAATGTCCTTATCTACAAAAGAAACAGCAAATCCCAAACCCTTATGTGAAATAAACTCTTACAGACGTCAATGGGACTCCCAGACGTGGGAATTTTGGGGAGTTTGGCCTTAGCAAGGGCAGAAACACTAAATAGGTCAAGGTTTCGACTTAAAATGGATCAGTATGTCTAAAGTCCCAAAGCAAAGTATGAGGATAAAACAGAGGCCAAGGAAAATGCCCCTTCTATTAATTTTTACAAGCAGCCTATTGGGCTTTTGAACCATTCACCAGCCATCCTCAAAAGAAGCGATGGTCTGACTACAACAAGGAAACTTGAAAGGGAAAGATGTTCCTTTGTAGTTCTTGGCTTTGAAGTCACTGGGAGTCTTACCAGTGACTTCAATGGGAGTAGCTTTGCACTTTCATATTCGCCATTGTTTTATCCTCACGCTTTTCAAAATTCCAAAAGATAACATTTCTTTTTATTGTAATCCTGACAGAGCAATTAAGCTCCAGTCCACACCTGCACCCAAAATTATGAGATCTGAATTAATGGTGTCCCTCTGCTCTATCTAGTGTCTCCGCTTTTCATGAGTTGCTGAAGAGCATCAAATTCTTCAAGGCTTGTAGAGCCGAACTTTGGTTAAGAATAGCTGTAGGTCTCACCTATGGTTTTAGGAGTGTGCTTAACAGAAAAAACAGACTAATTAAGCAATAAACAGAATGACAGAGTGTGAATTAAAGTGTAATTATTTGCAGGGGCCTTCACAGTGCATTTTTAAGACATCAGTCCAGAGGCTGAAAGGCATTTTCAGTGTAATAAGCTATGAATTACTGCCCCAAAATTTGAAGGTATTTTTGAAATTATAAAAAGTTTTCTTTCTACCTTAAATATATAAACCAGATATGTACGCACCATAAAGAGCTGCTGAGAAAAATTTAAGTTCTCATCCCTCCAAGGCATCCCTAATATCCCAAATGTTCAGTGTGAAAACCTCAGAGCCTTGGCTACATGGTCCTCTAGTCTCTAACACCCACAGGTCCTCCCATCTAAGCGCGCATCACAACTGCAGCAGCCACTGCTCCCTTGCTAGTGCTTTTGCAGAATGTGATTGAGGAAGGCAACCAGAAGAAACAGGTTTTTCCAAAGTTTGCTTGTACAGCTCCCCCTCTCTCATTCAGATCTGGGTGGAAGCTGGATGCCAAACTACAGACCCAAAGAGGAAACGCTGGGTGCTTCTGAAATCTGCAGCTACCACTTGAAGTCCAGGCACTGGAAGGATGCTGAGAGCACAGGGCACCTTGATCCTAGCTGAAACGAACACCGGTGTGCTGAAAAGCCTACAGACTGCACGGTGAGAAAATCAACGGCACCAGATATTTGCCATGAAGACGAGTGAGGAACATCCATAACATATTCTGTTTCACAAAGGCAGTGCACAAAGGGACTACTGATTATGCGACATGGAGTGATTTGTTTGTGAAGGGTAACTGATGGGATTAGCACCACTTACTCAGGATCTCCTTAAATGATTTGCATTTGGCTAAGCACTTCCAAGCTGCGGCGTATCACTCCGATTGCTGCATGATTGCACCTTGCGGTGGTGGCAGGGGAACCCCAGAGAAGAAAACATCCCGTTGAGCTAGAACTGGGGTGCAGCTGGCACGAAACCCAGACATGAAACACCCGGTGTTTTTGTGTTGGCAAAAAACCCCTGCGACTGACAAGATTCAGCACAAATGATTTCAAAAGATGGAGATTTTTCCTAGCTTCCCATGAGGCTTGTTACAGAATAAGACCATGGGATCTGTTTATTTATTTATTTACTTATTTTACCATTGGTGTTTCAAATGGCTAATTAAATCAAAACAAATGTTTGTTGTCCTTTGAAATATTTATGAATTGAAACTAATGTGACACCTGGGGGCCTCTATGAAGTGACGCAAGGGATAATTTCAGCCACTTATTTACTAAGGGCTTGATCGTGCCACAGAATGTGTTATACTTATCTGAGTGGCTGTACTGAATGCTATAGTAGCATTTTTTGTGTGTACACCTTTCTTAACATGATGCATGTGTGTAGAATCATGCACTGAAGTAGTAGTCAAGGTAATGTAAATATATGCTTATGCTCATAGTTTTCCTGTTTCATTAAACAAAACACAACAAACTTTCCACACATAATGTGTGGACCTTAAGTTATTTACCGGATGGTACACATACAGAGACGTATATATGGAAAGAGCTACTTGCCATCAACACAGGAAGGTCTGTTTCTTGTAGTCCCAGCCACTTTCCCAGGTAGACAGGAACACTTTACTGTTTGTGATCTTTCCTCAATTCGATTCTTATTACAGCATCTGTGTGCTGCTATAACTTCACACGTTCCTCCTTCTGGCGAA